TATAGTGGTATTAATTTATATTTTCAGATCTTCCAAGGTGCCAATTATGGAGTGTTTTATGTGCTGCAGAACAGGAACCTGCTGTAAAATAGCAATTATGCTGAGTCAGGCTTGATTTTTAATAATCTTTTCCTGTTAAATAAATAAATCAAATCAAATCAAAATCAAACTCTTTCTATATTAATGATTATTGTACAGCACCATGTGAATTTTGTTTCTGTGAAAGGCGCTCTATAAAATTTTTTTTACTTACTTACTAAAAAAAACTACTGGAAATGTACAGTTAGGTCCATATCTGGACACTGACAAAGGGTTTTATTTACCTGTTTACTGAAACATATTTAAATTATAAGTATTTACTGGATACAGTCATAAAGCCCAGACTTTCAGCCTTTATATGAGGGTATCCACATTAAAACTGGATGAAAGGTTTAAGAGTTCTTAATATGTGTCCACCCTGCTTTTAAAAGGACCAATAGTAATTGGACAATTGACTCAAAGGCTATTTCATGAACAGATGTGGGCAATCCCAACATTATGTCATTTTTAATTAAGCAGATAAAAGGCCTGGAGTTGAGGTGGGGCTCTTGTATTGGAAGGTTTTGGTGTGAAGGAAACATGCGGTCAAAGGAGCTCTCCATGCAGGTGAAACAAGCCATCCTTAAGCTGCAAAAACAGAAAAATAAAACCATCAGAGAAATTGCTACAATATTAGGATTGCTAAAATATACAGTTTGGTACATCCTGAGAAAGAAAGAAAGAAAGAAAGCACTGGTGAACTCAACAGTGCAACCTGGGTGCCCACAGAAGACAACAGTGGTGGATGACGGCAGAATAATCTCCATGGTGAAGAGAAACCCCTTCACAACAGCCAACCAAGTGAACAACACTCTCAAGGAGGTAGGCGTATCAATGTCCAAATCTACCATAAAGAGAAGACTGAAAGTAAATACAGAGTGTTCACTGCATGGTGCAAAGACACTCATAAGCATCAAGAATAAAAAGGCTAGACTGGACTTTGCTTAACAAAACATCTGAAAAGGCCAGCACAATTCTGAAAGAGCATTCTTTGGACAGATGAAACCAAGATCAACCTCTACCAGAATGATGGAAAGAGAAAAGTATGGCAAAGGCGTGGTACAGCTCATGATCCAAAGCACCACATCATCTGTAAAACACAGCAGAGGCAGTGTGATGGCTTGGGCATGCATGGCTACCAGTGGCACTGGGTCACTAGTGTTTATTGATGATGTGACACAGGACAGAAGCAGCCAAATGAATTGAGGTATTCAGAGCCATACTGTGCTCAGATCCAGCCAAATGCAGCCAAACTGATTGGTCTGTGTTTCATAATACAGATGGACAATGACCCAAAACATAAAGCCAAAGCAACTTCTTTGCTTTATTAAAGCAAAGAAGTGCTATATTCTTGATTGGCCAAGTTCTGCCACCTTTCATTTAATTTAATTTATGATTCATATTCTTGTATTTTTTTTTAAAGAAATTAATAAACTTAAAAGTTAATCACCTGATGTCCATGACAACAAATGTTTTTTCAACCAAATAGAAAGGAACATTTTATTTACATTCATTTAATTTGTCCAATTACTTTTGAGCCCCTGAAATGAAGGGATTGTGCTTTAAAATTGTTCCTCACATTTCTAGCCAAACATTTTGTTCAACCCGCTGAATTAAAGCTGAGAGTCTGAACTTCAACTGTATCTGAATTGTTTTTATTAAAAACTCATTGTGGTAATGTACAGAACAAAAACTAGGAAAAATTGTTTATGTATAAAAAAAATTACCAGTAAACATTATGGAAAAATGTAAGTACATTTTATTTTTATGTGTACTGTAGGCTCCATTTGAAGTATAATACTCAAAATGGTTTGGTCATTTATACTCTGGAAAAATACCCAAAATATATTTATTGGTAGGTATTGGGAAAACTACCAAAAAATATAATATTGTACATTAAATTAGTGTATGTTATTTTTCCTAAAGCATTTCTTTAATATCATAGTGTTTGTACAGCTTATTGCAGGATTTGTGCATTATAAATCTGTGCATATTAAAGTACATTTTACTGTAGGTTTTTTTTTATCATATTACAGTAGTATTACTATTTTTTAGTGTTGTCATTTTACTAATGAATATGTACATTTAAGTGTTGTTACATTTTACTGTGGCATTTCTTTTCAGGTTATTGCAGTATCTGTACTTGCTCTTCAGTACTGATACATTTTACTGAAATATTATTACATTTTCCTAGTATTTAATTAGTAATTTTTACTTTATTACTGTTAAGTAATTTGTGTGTGTGTGTGTCTGTGATTGTGTTCAGGGGATGTTACAAACGGTTGTGAACTGATCCGGAATCGTTCAGAGTGTAAAGACATCGACTGGGCGACGTACACCTGTGTTCTGGGATTCCATGTCTTTGGTCAGCACTTACTGTTTGAGTGCATGTCAGAATGTTCTCGCCCAAGTTCTGTGCGCTGCTCTGAGAGGTACTCATCCAACTTTCCGGTCTGTCTCAGGTGTTTGGCCCGAAGGTTCTGATGGCACTGACATCAATGCTCTGATGAGGTCCAACAACAGGAAGGTGATCGCCTTGGCAGACGACTTCTGTAAAGTTCATTTGTTCGCCTACCCCTGCTCCAAACCCAAGGTGGGTCTCAATCCATTTCCAACCCTGAAACTAATTCTATTGGGTCGGAACTAGCCTGGCCCTTGCCTTCCTACACAGTTCCGCTCAATTCTAGTTTCCCTTCACTGCTCCATCTGGGATTTCTCCCATAGACAAGAATTTCTTCGGGAGAATTTCATCCGGGCCAATCAGAGAACAGAAAGTCGATTTTCTGCGCAGTGTCTGCTAGTTAGTTTAGCAATAGCAGTGGAGGAAGTGAATGAAGCCAGTCTGTGTTGATAAGGCTTCCAAATTAAATTAAATTTGTCTGACAAAGCAGCAGCTCTCACCAGTCGTCTCTTTCGGCTCGGTACTTCTCTCAGTAGAGTTGTTTACAGCGCACGTGATTTCCGGTTAGCTTAGCCTCCTTCACAGTGGAGCTGGCGCTTGCGGCCAACCAATCCAATCATTTTAAACTTCAGCAGAGGCCAAGCCTCCAGCAAGAATCGCTTTTCTATAGCGAAGAGTCCAGACCCTCGTACGAAGCAAAGTGAAGGACTAGGGTCTGGTTTTTACCAGGCTAGGGTTGGAACCTGAAACCAAACGTAACTCTTTAATGGGGACATGTTACCTGAAATCATGGTTTTGATATATATGTAGCCAAATAAACACTTATTTGGCAAAGTGACATTTTAAAATAATTCACTGTTAATCTGTTAATGCATAAAATAGTTGACAAATTTAAATACACAGGTTGAAAAGAAATACAGATCTAAGAATGACCTGGCAGGGTTCATGCAGGGTCTTAAAAAGTCTAAAATTTGAAAATCAAAATTTTAGGCCTAAAAATGTCTTTAAAACACCCAGATTTTCATCCAAGGTCTTAAATTTTATTTTGTCAAGTCTTTTTTTTTCTTTCTTTCGATCGTTCCCGAGAAGTAAAGAGTAAAGAGCTGTAATCAGAGGTTAAACCATAACTGCAGGGAAAAAATGGCACAGTTTGCTTCGATGTTTTCAACCTCTTTGCTGCTGCAACCCCCTGCATATGGCGACTTGTTCACCTGCCCAAAAAACAAAGAAGTTCAGTCATGTCTCTGCTTGTCATTTAAACATAGGAAAATGTGTTTTCAATGAGACTTGATATCAGTGATTTTTGCACTCAATTGGAAGCGGTCCACAGCAGTCAGTATGAAGGTCTAATAGATAAGACCGTTTCATTAAAATAATTTAGTGTTCTTATATTAATATTAAATGTTCTTTACTAGCTAAATTGATAGCAATAAAATGTTTCTGTTAAAATTTCTGGGACCATTTGAATATTTGTTAATGCATCAGTTTGGTCTCAAATGTCATTCCTAATGGTCTTAAAAGGTCTTAAATTTTACTTACTGAAACCTGCATGAACACTGCCCAGGACAGATCAAGGACTGACAAACCTTTTTAACTGTTCTTACAGACAGAATGTGAAGGAACACCAGTTTTTCCCACAGGATAGAGCAGCTGTCCCTCCCTGTTGTCGTCTCCTGTCCTGTGAAGAACAAGCTCCTTTAGATCAGGGGACATCAAAATCCAAACAATTGAATAATGTGTTTGTGTGTCTGCAGGCTCCCAGTCGTAAATACAGCGCCCACAGCAGTCATGTGACCAACGTCAGCTTCCTGTTTAATGACAGCCATCTGATCTCGACGGGGGGGAAGGACACCAGCATCATGCAGTGGCGTCTGCTGAAAAAACCTTCTCCATCCCTGTCTGATGGCATCATCTCTAACCCTCCTCCTCGCAGAGCTGATCCCACCATCATCACGTCACCTTCTCCATCAACCACACCCATACAGGAACGAGACCATCCCCTAACTGCCAACGGGACCCAGGAACCCTTTATTGAAATCTCTCCCCCAACAAAGTTAATCCCACCCACCTCTGATCTGACCCCGCCCCACTCTGAATCGACTCCGCCCCCCTCTGAAAGTACGGTGAGTCTGAAGGACAGCCTTGAGCCAAGTGATGACACAGCCACGCCTAGTGATGAGGGACTGCCCCCCCTGACCCCACCCTCCTAGAACCAGTCACTGTGTATTCCTGTCCAGCTGTCTCTGTTGGGACCAGGTCCTGTCTCTGTGGGACCAGGCTCTGATTTCCTCCATCATCTGGAAGTTGGCTGAATATGAGGACAGCTGTTGAGTCCTGATCTCAGTTTCAGACTTTTTTAAGGTTAAAATTCAGATCAGTTCAGGACTGCAGTCAGAAATGTGATGACGACGATGATGAGGACAATAATAATAATGATGAATACTACAGAAACATTGGAGTTTCATCTTATGTCCAACTTTGATTCATCTGCTTCTAAGCAGATGGAACAGATAAAGGCCTCAGCAGAAACCAGTCCATAATTCTCCTGTTAGAAGTTTTCTGGGCTCACAGAAAGTCCATTGTACTTGTCTGCTCGAATCCGGACTACAAGTGAAACACTGTGAACAGGAGCTCATTCTACAGGAACACTTCACCAAAACTGAAGCAAATGGGATCAAGTTCAGCAGTGGTGGTGGCTGACAACAGCTACATGCTAACAGGTGTGCCACAGCTTGAACCACCTGGAGTCAGATTCAGGAGCAGAGAACAGCTATCACACACCTGTCATTTCCACCATCACTCAACTCTTTATTTCTGTAACTGTTTTTCTGTCTGTCACAGAGACAGAGAGACAAAACCACTTGAATAAATGATTTTCTTCCTTTCCAAACCAAAACAATAAGATGACACTGTTCAGAGGAAACAGATGTGAATGTGGGCAATAATTCTTCCACCAAAAATCAGAGAGTTTGATATAGTTGTCTGAGTTGGAGAAATCCTGAAATCCATAACCTTAACATTAGTTGTCCTGATGCATCTCAGTAATCCAGGTAAAAATCAAAAAGAAAAAAATTGTATAGGTCCTCTGGACGGGTTCTTCTCTAATGAAACGTTTCGTCTCTCCTCCAAGAGACTTCTTCAGTCTGAGAGTTTCAGGCAAAATTCAGGCTTTTAAGCACTGCCTCCGTGTGACTGATAATCACATGGCTATCGTTGACGCCTAATTAACACTTATTGTTAACAGGGGGTGGAGTGATACTGGCAATGGCCGCGCTGTAGGAGGGGGACAACTGAAAACGGAGGCCTCCACCTCTGTTTAATGATGGACGGTCTTTCTTCAAAAAATTGGCTTTTACTCGTCTCTCAAACCAACGTTCCTCTCTATCAAGAATGAGAACATCCTCATCTCTGAAAGAGTGACCGCTGGCCTGTAAATGAGTGAAAACTGCAGAGTTCTGGCCACTAGAATTAGCTCGTCTGTGTTGGGACATTCTTTTGAACAGTGGYTGCTTTGTTTCCCCGATGTATAACTGGTCGCAGTCCTCCTGGCACTTAACAGCATATACGACATTGCTCTGTTTGTGCCGGGGCACCGGATCTTTGGGGTGAACCAGCCTTTGCCGTAATGTGTTTTGGGGTTTGAAAGCCACTGGGACATCATGTTTAGAAAATAAACATCTCAGTTTCTCCGAAACACCCGCAACATACGGAATAACCACTGGTTTGGGTCTGGGTTTGGGGTCTTCATTTTCACCTGAAGGTTGCATGGAATCCTGTCTGTGTTTCCTGTCTGCTTTCAGGAAAGCCCAGTCAGGATAACCACACTGCTCCAAGGCCTGTCATGTGTGTGATTTCTCTTTCTCCCTGGCTCCTGGGTTTGTAGGGACACTGTCTGCTCTGTGGTACAGAGTCCTGATCACTCCTAACTTGTGTTCCAGTGGGTGGTGGGAGTCAAAATGCAAATATTGGTCTATGTGGGTGGGCTTACGATACACGCCAATTTCCAACCGTCCTCCATCCGAAAACGAGACATCGCAATCCAGGAACGCCAACCTGCCATTTTTTACATCCTCTCGTGTGAACTTAATATATTCATCCACAGAGTTGATGTGATCAGTGAAATGTTGGACTTACTGGACTTTCATTTTAACCCAGGTGTCGTCAACATATCTGAACCAACGAATTTTGCCTGAAACTCTCAGACTGAAGAAGTCTCTTGGATAAGAGACGAAACGTTTCATTATAGAGAAGAACCCGTCCAGAAGACCTACACAATTTTTTCTTCTTAACATTAGTTGGATTTGCACCAAAACAAAAATTACTTCATTAACTTTTTAGATTTAAGGCTTAAACAACTATCAGCCATTTCTGCATTCTGAAATCTGATTTTGTTCAATCAGAAACACAGTTTACAACTAAAATTCTATAAATAAATTGTATTAAAGAAAAGCAAAAAAAGTTGGAACATATTTGATCAGAGTGAGATATCCAATCAGACTCAGTCTGTCTGATCAGAAAGACGTCTCACTCTGATCAGACTGAGATGTTTCTGATCAGACTGAAGCTTGGATTACACTTCAGTAAAACGTGAGACAGCGGGTTGGAGATTGCGTAATTTTGGACGTCTTTTCTGATGGAGCATAAACGAGCTGAAGACGCGGTGGGCTATAAATTATCATAGATCCTCCTTCTGCCCTCCCACAGCTCATATAAGTGCATAAACAGCCATTTTATTTTATTTTTTTATCACTCAGTGTGTTGGGTGAAGAAGAGTCGGTGGTGGAAAAACTTTTTTTTACGGTGGTGATGGAAAAAAAGATGTGAAAATCAGAAAATCAGCTGCATTCTCACGTTCAGTAGGATCAAATCAGCTGCTTTTCTAGCTCTTTTTAAGTGGCTTCAGAAAAAAACGATTGTTTTAAACAAAATAAGCTGCAGAAGGCAGAGCTGATCAGAGTCCTGCTCCTCAGCGCTGCTGGATTGCTCAGTGTTCTTTATGAAAAAACACACCCACGAAAGTCAAACCAATCACACTCCGAGCCGTAAAGTCCACACCTCACAGTTCTGACTGGGGGCAATGCACAAGACAGCTGTCACCAGGGGAGAGCAGACGTAAGTTGCACAATTTTTTTTGTTACTCAGCAGGGGGAACAAGACGTGCGCCTCGAAGTATAAACCAAGCTTTAGACGTCTCTGATCAGACTGAGACATCTCTGATTAATTTTACAGCAGTTTGTGTATTCTGAAGATTGTTGCGTGAACATTTTACTTCCTGCTGCTCAGCTCAGTGAAATACTCAGCCACCATCATGTTTAACCTGCATCTCTTATCCAATCACGTGTCAGGAACCCTTTAGCTCCTCCACTCTGATTGGCTGCTCTCAGTGACCTCCTAAATGACTGCTGGTGATGTTTTTTGTTTCTTTTGGAACATTTCAATCAGAATGTTTTTGAATGTTTAGATGATGTCACTCCAAGGGCAGGGTCACTGGGAGAAATTTTAATGTTGCCTTTTTAATACTCGTTTTTCTTTATCTTAATCTTTTTTTTACACTCATCTCTAAAGGGCTTGTGCATAGTTCAGGGACTCACCTGAATGTTCAGGTAGGGGCGAGGTGTGGAACTTCTTTGGAGTTTCTGAATCTGTGTTTATCAGTGGCCATAGATACTTACGATGATTATATTTTGTGACTGTTTTGAGCCAATCATGTTTTTTTCATGCATTCCTGTCAGACGACAGATTTTACTGAAGATTTAAGCAAAAAAAAATGCAAATAAATGTTATAAAAGTGACAGCCAGTCAAATTGTTGTTGTTTTTTTGGGTTATTTTCGATGCAATGTCTTGTTCTTTATTTTGAGTTAAATACAGGACTGGTGTTATTTGAACTGTTGTCATTCCATACAAGTTAATAAATAAAAAAATAATCAAAATGATCAATTAAAAAGTAAAATCTTTGTCTGATGCCTCAAACATCTAATCACATCTAGCTTGGCATAACTGGTCGACAGGATGGAGGATAGGCAGCAGGAAAATACCATTTTTTGTTGAAGAGAAAGTGTTTAATAAAAGTGGAACTTGTTTGAATGGTGATTATATGATACTTCTTGGTGGTTCTGAGTGGCCAATGCTTTTAAAAATATCTGAACAGGACCTACATCAGGCTGGTGCATTAACATCTAACTTGCAAAACTACAACCCCAATTCCAAACCAAGTTGTGATGTTTTCCATTTAAATAAACACTGGAATAAACAAACGATGGAATTTTACACATCGTTGCATTCAAAGTCAGGTTTCTGGGGGAGACTTCTAATAAAACTGAGTAAATATAAAAATGACGGAGGTTGAACCTGACAGAATGAATTAATCAATACAAAAGAAAAAAAGTGATGATAAATCAAAATGACCAAAAAGTACAGAGCGGTACACAGGGAAATATTTCCTTCTACATTAAAAGCATTTTAATTCAGTAATTTCAAAACTCAACAGTACTTTCACTAATGGGAAATCAAAACAACCGAGTAGTCTCAAAAAAATTTAAATATTAAGCTTTAGCTGATAAACCACCCAATGAACATAAAACAATGACTTATTAAAATGTTCAAGAGTTAGTTATAAGGCTGACAACAAAATTCAGAACTGTAATTTTTTTAATACCATTTTTGCTGCGACCACTGAAATGTGCATGCTGACAGACTTGTGTTTTGTGGCCCAGCAGTTGAAAATCACTGATTTATAACGTGAGATTGACGGATTTTTGGTGAAGAATTTCAGGCATTAAGATGTGTTTTTGTGTGCCATCCTGTTAAATGTGGTAAATATGTGGAGTTGGTGTATTTAAATTTAAAAAAAAAGTTTAGAAAACAAAACAACTGGAGTTCTGTTCTGAAGTTGCTCATTTAGAAAGTTCTGCAGAACAGTCTAGAACCAGTTTGTTATACAATTTACTTATCAACCAATATAACGGTAAACAGTATTTTTCCTGACATAGACTGATGGAAGCAGTTATTGTGAGAGCTTCCATCAAAGCTTCGCCTGGCTTTTCCCCCTGAAGTGAAGGACTACAGGGTGGAGGTGGAGAGCAGCGTCACCACCCTGACTGGACCTGAGGACACATCTACAAATTTAAACATGACTGGAACTCATCATGAAAAGAGTTGTTTATGCACTAACTAAGTGTTGAATTTACTTTACCAAGTCATGTCAACTGGTTCCACTAAACCTGTACAACCACAACTCCAATGAAGTTGGGACATTATGTAAAACAGAAATAAAAACAAAATAAAATGATTTGCAAATCTTTTTCAGCCTATATTCAGTTGAATACTGTAGGGGTCACCTCGAGTGAAGAAACAGGAGTTACTGCCTCAAAGCAGGTCTCGCACAGGCCTGAGAGAAGGCAGGAACACTGAACTCTATTTTAGGCCATGATGGGTCATTTCAACCTACACGAGGACTTCAGTTCTCTAATCAGATATTAACAGAAACAATCTGTCCTGTTCGTGATTCATTGGTTGTTTAACTAAGAATGTTTATGCATCTGTTAATCATAATAATGACATGTCACAAGAAAGAAAGTATCACTTCTATTCTTTTATCGTGCCTAAAATAGATTAATGAATCACAGAAAATCATCACCATGTTTTCATTGTGTTTTTATAAATCACTGTTTTTATTTTACTGAAACATCAGTAATAT